GTTGCCGTGGCCTCTTTGCTGGTTGTTGAAGCCGTCTTGTTTTGTGTTTTTATGTCAGAGTGCTCAACTGAAAGATGTCATCATCAAGCCTGACGCTCCCAGCTCTCTGCTGCTGGACAAACATGCAGACTACATCGCAGCCTACGGCTCCAAGAAGGACGACTATGTGAGTAAAGCCTTGTTTACACCCAGATCACAACTGGATGTGTGTGTGTGTTCATATAAGTTTAGATTCGTTGTTTTTATCAGCAAACAAATAGTCTATTTTTCAACTTCCATGACATCTAAGATCAGATAGGGATCATTAACTACCTCCTCTAGGCAAACTTTAAAAGGTTTTAAATTGTTACCCTAAAGATCTCTTAGCAATGGTTTTGCACCCCCAGAACCAATCATGAAGCAGCATTCAGCTATGCATCAAAAACCTGGAAAAAACTGCCAGAAAACTGCAAAGCTGCTGAATCACTGAGTTCATTTAAATCAAAGCGAAAACTCCAGCTCATTAGAGTTGTATCTCTACTATGTTGTACTTTTTACTTTTACTTGAATAATTTTATTATAAAGCATTTCTTTTCTTGTTTAAATTTGATGTATTTTCTACCCACTGAATGAAAACCAAACTTGTTTTAACCAAAAATTCACCAGACACAGACACACACCTTTAGTTTTTGTTAAAGTTCTTAAGTGTTTTACTGAAAGAAACTGAGCTACACAAATGAACTTGATTGATTAGTTCAAAACCGGGGACAGAAAAACAACAACTACCTCTTATTAACCTGGTTAAAGCCTGATCTTCTGATATTTTAAAGAAGCTTCAGTTGAACTAACTCTGTTGAACCAACCAGGAGTACACGCTGTCGGAGTACCTGAGGATGAGCGGCATCTACTGGGGCCTGACGGTGATGGACCTGATGGGCCAGCTGCACCGGATGAACCGCCAGGAGATCGTAGATTTCATCAAAGCCTGTCAGCACGAGTGTGGCGGCATCAGCGCCAGCATCGGACACGACCCTCACCTGCTCTACACCCTCAGCGCCGTCCAGGTGAATCCTGGTGGACTTTCACTCTAAACTTTAATCATATTTTCTGATCTGTTTGGATCCTCTGTAATCATTTTGTTGTAACAAAGATCTGTTTTATCAGGTTTTTCTTTTAGTTTAGATCAGAGGTGTCCAAATATGATTACTCATCCCTGACCACAAGTCAAGAATGGTAAAGATTTGGCCAACAAAATGGAAAGCAATTAATGACCACAAGAATTTGGAAATTATTTGTTTAAGGCAGCAGTCCAAAGCTCTTTTTGTGTTTTAGATCTTTATTGATTTACACATTTAATAAAAAATGGTTTATTGTTGAGAAAGTAAAACTAAAAAAATCACAAACTAACTTGTAATTTGTGTCCTGCCAGTAATTTAACTGTTCCAGTTTTTTGGGTAAACAGTTTGTCCTCCCCTGGTTCAGACCGACTGTCTCTGTCTCTCAGATCTTGTGCCTGTATGACAGTTTGGACGCCATCGATGTGGACAAAGTGGTGGAATACGTGAAGGGGCTCCAGCAGGAGGACGGCTCGTTTGCAGGAGACAAATGGGGTAACAAATCTCTAATATAAGTTATTGTTCAGATTATAATCAGTTTGTATTTTAATCTTATAATTTGTAAACCTTTAACTGCTGTTTCAGAAATGTGAACGATCTGAAGGAACTGCAGGATTTCCTGTAATACTTCTTTAATGTTTTGTCCCTTTGCTTTGTTGTTAATTTTCAAATAAATGTGATTTTGTGTGAGGTTTTTATGATTGTTCATATTTGTTTTTATTGCTTTTTATGGGAAATAAATAGGCAAAATAATAACTAAAAAGCTGTAGTGTTGTTGCCTTTAAAGCTTGGAATTAAAGAATTAAGTAAATTAAATGTTAAGTTTTTATTACATTGACTTTAGCTTGACTTCAGCTTCTTCACATGTTTCTGTTTTAACTGGAGTTTTCTGTCTTTGCAGGAGAAATCGACACGCGGTTTTCTTTCTGTGCTGTTGCTACGCTGGCATTGCTGGTATGTTTGGTTTTATTTCCCTACAAGATAAATTTTCATAATCATGTTTTAGAAGCAACTAATGCAGCCAACATATAATAGCTATATTGTAAAGTTTTGAAGGATCTGTATTTATTAAAATTATCTCAGTTTCTGTCAGTTCTTCTGTTTTATTTATAAGGAAATGAACATCCAGGAAAAAAAAAAAAAAAAAAAAAAAAAAAAATATAAATAAATAAATAAAAATAAATATATATATATTTTTTTTTTTTTTTTTTATTAAAAA